GCTTGTTGGGGAGAAACATGAAATGAGATATTTAACACTTCTTGTTTACTGTAACACTTCTATAACATATGATCCAATTTCTGGACACTAGGGTTAATATTTTATCACTGGAAATAAAGCTCTGGTATCTAGGCAGAAAAAAAAAAAAAGAAAAAAAAAGAAAAAAAAGAAAAAAAAAAGAAAAAAAGAAAAAGAAATAAAATTCACAGTAAAATATTTAGAAAGCCACTTGGAAAACACACTCAATTTCTTTTCTCCCCTTCTTGCTTCTACATCAACTTATTTTTTGGACAGCAGAAACTATGAAGGGATATTTAAAACACTTCTAACTGCCTTCTCCCTATCACGACAAACCACCATGTCCACAAGGCTTCCCACAGACCATGACACCACTTCTTATACCCTGGTAAGGTCAGAATTACTAGGAAGGTTCGAAACAATGTATTTTGCCTGGTTATATGACAGCATAAGCAAATTGCCAATTATTTTTCAGTAAAACAACCTTTAAAACAAAGTTAAGCTATCACGCAGCTGCAACGTTTCCAGACAAGCTACACCTAATAACAGTTTCAGAGTTCTTCATTCCGCTGGTGTACAAGTGCATTATAACATTTTATAGACTATAGATAGCAATTTCTAATCTCTACAGCTTTGATCTAGATATACAGAAACTTTACCAGGAAGTTTCTTGAATATAAGAGTAACTGATTCTCTGCTGTGGAAAGGATACCAGCCTTTCCTCAAAGCAGAAAGTGTGTAAGAAGTATAATCCATTAACAAAACAACTTTAGATATCTGAACAGCTACATCCAGATTCTAGTTTCCCACCCAAGCTACTGGGAGGAAAAAAAATTCAAGCGAGCAGTAATGCAACTATTGCTACATAAAAGAATTTCTATATGTACTAAAATTATAGTGATTTATCTCTTGCTTATTTGAGCTGCTACTTTCTTCTTTAGTAGCTGCAATAAATTTGCTTGATCACATTCTGCAGTTTCATCTAGAACAGTCCTATCACCCTTCAAAAAATTTATTGTAACAGAAATGTAGTATTTTATTATATCTTTCAAAATCGCATCTCTAGTTCGACAACATAATAAACAACTTTCAGGAAGACATCTGTACCTTGACTGAGCTATTATTAATCAGATTACCTAAGCAAATAATTGACTAAACATTCCTTACGCACAAGGAAAAAAAACCATTATCTAATCTCCAATTACTTCAGTTAAATATAAGGAAATATACTACTACTGCACTTACAGGTGTTTCCTATACATTGATCAAAGCTTAAAAGGAGACTGTAAGGCCTTGACACTTAAATAAGGCCCACCACAAAAAAAAACAACAAACAGTTAAAAAGAGAGCTTAATACAATCCCTCCCTTCCCCCCCTTTACAGATTTTCTTTACTTTTCCTATTTTTTTAGTGGCTATCACAGTCCAGGAGGAATATATCTGCAGGAGAAATCTGCTTAAATGACTTCTGACGTTTTTGCCTTACAAATGTAAAATAATTATTCCATCCATCCAAGTTCAAAAACAAAGTCAGAAGACTTACAGTTTAGTGCACATTCAACTTCAGAGTCAAGAGTCGAAAAAACTTATGTTCTTCTGGCCTACGAAAGCAAGATTCGTAATTTTAGTGAGAGCACAAGGTTACACACGCAGAAAAACTGCCTTAAACCCAAACGCTTAAGCCACAAGACAAGCAATGCATTTCAAGTAACCGCGTTAAGTACGTTACCCCTCCGAATTCACACGAAGTCACGGCCGCTATGCCCCAGCTCCCCGCGCCCTAAGCAGCGTGTGAACCTCCAGCCGCCGTGCGGGGCGGTCAGGGCGACAGAGTGGCACCCCCGACGAGGCACCACGCCCTGCGCCCGGCACAGGCCGAGCCGCACTCAGCGGCCCCGCCGCCCGCCCAGGGGCTCACCGCAGCACCTGCCCCCCAATGCAGGGAGGAATAGTAACAATAATAGTAATAACAAAAATAATAATGAACACTCTCTTCATCGTTTCTTCATATCACCCACCGGAGAATCTGTTGCTCGCTCCCTTTTGTGCGGGTGTCAGGAGCGATTACCGCTGAGCATCACTCGCCGCGCCCGCGGCACTGTCCGGCCCTCCTCGCTGCCCACTCCTGCGGCGGTGGAGCCAGAGGCTCCCCCCACAATGCCCCGCCCGGCCCGGCCCGGCCCAGCCCAGCCCCGGTCACCTCGCTCGGCCCTCGCTCGCCACTGCGCGGAAGCCAGGGCGGGAAGCACCGGTGGACTCAGGCGGCGGCTGAGGGACGGCAGCTCCCGCCACCCCCAAGTCTTTGCATCCCCCTCCCCGATCAAGGGAGTGGCAGCAGCGCAGCCCGTCTCACCGGCAGGTACCTGCCCCGCGGGCGCCCCGGGGAAGATGGGCGGCAAGAGCGAGGAGCCCCGCGCCCCTGCCACTCACCACTGCCCACGGCGGCGCCCGCTCCTTTGTCTGCCCGCCGCGCCCCGGCACCTCCGTCCCCTTCTGTCGGGCGCTCCGCGCCCCTTCTCCGCCGCGCTGAGGGCGGAGGAGGACGCAGACGAGATCCGCAGAGGAGGCCGCTACCGCCCGACGGTCACATGCAGCGGGCGTTCGCGGCGCAGCCCTCTCCTGCGCTCCCAGACGGCTCCCAGGAGCCCGGCCGGCACGGTCTGAGGCGAGGTCGGGGTGAAGATGGCGACCTCGGCGGCGCGGAGGGGGAATCCCCAGCCTGGCCCGTTCCGCTCCGTGCTGCCGGCTGGGCTGGGCTAGGCTAGGCTAGGCGCGCTGGGGAGGGGAAGGGACAAAGGAGGCCGCGCGGCGGCGAGGACGGCTGCCGCTGCCCGTCAGCCCTATCGCTGTACCGCCCGCTCCGCCGCCGCCGCGCTTTCAAACCAGCGCCAGCGCCAGCGCCGCAGAGCCCCCTGCTCGCCCCGCCCCACCCGGGCTCCCTGAGCGAGCGGGCGGGCCGCGGAGCCGCCGGCGGCTCTGGTACGCTCCCCGGCAGGACAGCGGGCCTTGGCGAACGCGGGTGTGGACCCTGGTATGGGGTCTCCCTGTCCGGAGCCTGGCGAAGCCAGCGCTCCAGCGTCCTCCGACGCCAGAGGGGTTATCTCACGTCCTCAGATGTTCTTCGTGCCTTCTCGCCGTGAGGAGATAGCACACGAGGGGGCAGTTAGTGCAAATGGCTGACCGTTCGTCATGCGGCTGTTCAAGATGCGGTGCTGGCGTTGCAGAGGCTTTGAGGAGGTGTGGAAAGCGGGTCACGAAAGCTGGTGTGGTTGTCGTTGGAAGGGGCTCTGGCTTCTGCCCAAGGCTGTTGACAGCAGCAACCACCCTCCTCTGCGTGCTGGTAAATATTGGAGGTGGCATGCATGACTGGAATACGAGACACAAGGAACATGCAAGATCAGGTATTCCTCACTGGGTGGCAAAATACGGCTGGCAGTTCTGTCCGTGGACACCTGGTGCTGTTGAGCTGCAGATCTTCACCAAGAGACAGGCTCCATCTCACCTGTGCGCTGCTTGTCCTAGTTTTGGACATAATCCAGTATTCAGCAGCATGAGTTAAAATGGAAAACGTGGCAGTGCTGACAAGTTGCCACTGTACTGAATTTGGACCACAATGCGAGGGAAAGAGGCTGGAGAGATCAGTTGTAGAGTGGAAAATTTCCTGGTCTATACCTAAATCCACAGTTATAAAACAGTCTGAAAAGGATCTCGAGCCATGTAAAAAAAAAAAAAACAAAAAAAACAAACATTCAAAAACTTTGATTTGTTTTTAGTCTGTGTGAATTCCTGACATTTATTACTAGCCATACAGGTTTCTTGTCATTAATAAGACCTGCATCAACTGACATGATTGTTTTTTATTGTTTTTCCAGACTATATATATGTATTTTTTTTTAACAGTTTTGGACATTTTTCCCAGAGGTCTGTATTTGTGCCAATGAGGTACCAGATGTGGTTACGTCTAATTGACCTCCAGAAGGACAGAGTGCAAGCGCTGGCTGCATCAAACATTCCCAGCCACTGATCTCCCCTTGCATGGGCAGCGGCACTGAAAACAAGTTCCAGCCCAAGTTTAGATGACAAACACTCTTATCTGATGAGTGCAAAGAACAGCTGCAATGGTTGCTTCCATTTTGCCTAAGCTTCTCATTATTGTCAATGGACTTTACTTCTCAAGAATCCTATGATGTAGAGAAAGTATTATCATTCCCACTTTCAGAAATTGCAGTATAAAGAAGCAGTATAGCTTGCCTCAGGTCATACATATAATATGTGGTAAAACCAGAATCCTAATCCAGAGTTTGGGTGCAGAGCCAATCCAGCTAACAAGAAGTTAATTTTCTGTTTCAAGCTCTGTGTCTCAGAACTCCATTCCTGAAGAATTCTTGGGAGAAGGATCAAAATAATGTTGAGGAAGATACGCTAACAGAAATTCTGTTGAGCAGAAAAGAAATTCTGTTGTGGAGGAAAAAAATGTGTAGATAAATGGAAATTATTCAAGTAGCATATTTACACATAAAACTTCTGCAGAAATATTATCCCAGTTTGGGAAGTATGCAGACCAAGAAGTGAACACCATCTAATATGTTGCTTCAGTATTGTGTATTTTAGACATGCAGTGTAAGTAAGAACTTCTGCCTTTTATTGGCCAAATTTCACTTGGGAGCAGGTGAATCACAGGAACATTGCAGGAATCTTAGGCCAAAGATGCTAACACATTAGTGATTCCCGCAGAGGACTGTCCACATTAGGAGTACCACTGTATTCTAAGGATTTGTGGCATTTTCATCAGACCCTGTGGTAACACAAAGTTTGAACTGTTTCCCATAGCAATTCCCCTCAAGGAACAAAGATACATCAAGTCATGCATCCATAGTCATCTCTGTTAGATGGTTCTGGTACATCTTCAGAGTTTCAGGCATCTGCCCTGCCACGTGTCTCAAACAGATGCTAGAGTGCCCAGAGGCACATTGTGTTGGCCATTAGCATAAGCCTTTCAGAAGCCAGCCTCTCCAAAGCATGTCCAGCAGCAGAGTCAGGAGATTCATCAACCCTGCGAAAGTGTGTGCCAAATACTTGTCAGAGGACAGTCATGTGCCAGGCTGTTTCTGGCAGCAATGGTACGTATTCAGCTACCATAGTTACCAACAATGTACTAATCACTTTGTGTGTGAGAACAAACTGTGTACAGAGCCAGCCATGCTTGCAAATAAACTCAATTAAGCCTTCAGTAGATTGAACTCAGTTGGACAAGTGTGCTCTGACCAACAATTTGTGCTCTGCTTTCTACAGCTAGTTCCTCAAAAGCGCAGTCACATTATCTTTACAGCTTTCCAAGTGTCTCCTTCTGACTAAATAGTGACCATTCTCTTGATTTCTTTCCCCAGTGACACAGTCTTGCCCTTATTACTAACTACTTTTACTAATTACTTCTTCCATATCCAAAGTTAGGCAAGAATTTTATCTTTCTAAAACTTTCTCCTCTCCTGCTGTCCTCAGGGCTTCATGCTGAAGCATGAAAAAAATGGTCAGGCAGAAATACCTCAATATTTCTATGAACCTTTGATGATAAATGACATTCTTCTCACTCTGTGGGCCAGACTGCTTGCTAGATAGTGTACCAAACACAACAAATAGAAACTCAGCATTACTGGCTTTGATGGTGTCTGTGGGAAAAAAAAAAAAAATTGCTTTTTAAAAGAGAAATATTACTTTACAATTCCAAATTTCATAACATATTGTTCCCTTTTAAAAGTTAATAATTAAATGAACATGTTTGTCGTGACTAAATAGCAGTGTGTGGGTATAACAGTCATAAACACCAAGGGATTCCTCTAGTTCTAGTGTAGCCAGATACAAGCCAGTGAAGGTGTGGACCAGCCATTGCAAATGGTTAAGGTACCTGTTCACCAAAGTGCCTTAGCCGACCATACCTGCGTTCCTTACATGTGGCAACTGTGCACCTGCATGGTGGCGGCCTAGGCAAATGTGCTTTGTTTTGCAGTTGCCACAAGTGAGGAACCAGGATTATGGTCTGTTAATGTGGCTCAGCTAACAGGATGCAACATTTTACACTCTGCTCATTCAGTGGATTGCAAGGGTCTGTTCATGACCAACACTGAAAGTGAGTCCAGTCATAACCCAGTGAGAGAGGGTGGTGGCAGTCGAGAAGAAAGGCTAGTTTGTTGTTTTCTTTTCTGCTAAAAAAGGAAGCTACTGGGGATACCCACCTCCCAGTGTTTTCTCTAAATGGTTCTTCCCTGTGAACAGGTCAGGTAAGAAAAAAGACTTGCTTTTTCCAGGAGAGGCAGAAGTTTCACCTAGAAGTCCCAGCAAACTCTGAATTTGCATGTGTTTTGGACTGCCACCTGTCCCATGTGGAAGTAGATGCACCATGCCTGCTCCTTTATGACTTCATACATACCATATGTAGTACCATGAATTAGATCCAGAGACCTGAAACACAAGCTGAAGTGCTCTTTCACCAAATAGCGTGAGGCAGATCTACCACTCATCAAGAAAGTGTGGAGAGAATGGAAAAGAACGTGTGTCCTCTTGACTCAGTCACTTCTCACTCAACATGTAAAGACCTGAACTTGGCAAAGTAGCTCAGAGCTTTTCTACATAGTAAAAAGATTCTTGAACAAAAGCTCACCAAGTGAAAATCCTGAGATTTTCTCAGGTAATAGTACTGTTTCTGTCTGAAAGGAACTTTGCTAAATAGCTGCAGTGATATAATTGCTTCATTATGAGCCTGCAATGAAATCTCTGTATGATAACTTCATTCATTGTTCTTTTTTTCTGACAGAAATGTAACCCCCACAATATAATAATGGTTTTTACATTTGGAGGAACCAGGTCTGGTAATTAGGTTTCTAACATATTTTCTGTAGCTTCCCCTAGTTTTCATTCTGCACACATACATGGCTTTTGAAAGTCATAATTATTCAACATGCATCTCTTCCTCCTCTCTCACCCTCTGGCTGTCTGGTCTATTTAGGTTGCATATTTCTGTTGTTGTGCTATGTTTACACATTGCCTGGTATTAAGCAAGTCCCAATTTGTTTAGCTTCTCTACTTGCTATTGTGATACAAATAATAAATAATTCTACACTTTCAAAGTTCATTATTATTTCAGAAGCTGTATGGATTAACTCTGTTTTCCTATTTATGAAAATACAGTTTTATTGGTTTTACCAGTGATCAAGGGCATTCCATGAGACACTGTAAAAAGCAGGCTTTGTATTTTACAAGCTTTGTAACATGCTACTATGAAACTGGGTAGAGTGGTCTAAGAATGGAGGGAAACCCCCTGGAATCATCTGTGATGTGTTAGTTTTTCTCGCCATTGCTGTTAGTATAGCTAGGTGCCTTGCTAATGGCACAGAGGTTTTACAGACTTATTAACACTGCTGGCTAGGTTCAAATATTTTCCTAGGAAGCTTTTATTCATCTGTGAAAAAGTCCTCTGAAGTCAACAGGAGCTGCACCTAAGTGACTTACTAAGTCTCTGTACCATTTAGGGTCATAATTCCTAGCATCCAACCAGCATTTTGAAAGCCAACACTGCTCCTTTGTTTTTATTCTTTAAGACAATTTTCTTCTTCTTTTTCTTTCTTTCCTTTTTTTCTTTTTGTTAGTTGCTACTTCCATTGAACATTTACACTCACTGGTTTTTGAATGAAACTGCAACAGCCCTGTTTTGAACTGCAAACCTGATGGACTCAGATTCTCACTGCTGCTAACCTGCGAGTCCCTGCTGCAGAACCAGCTCAATTTAACTATGTAATGGTGACAAGATGGCAACTCTTCATCTGGTAACAATATAAATCCCCATTGCTTTTTCTTACTTTAAGCTGTTCAAACCCATTTCTCTCTCTTCTCCCTCCCCTCAAAGGAAGCTGAAAAGGAATCTAGAATTCCTGAAAGTCAGAATAATTCCATTTCTGACTTCTAATAAATACAATAAGATGATGTATCCAGTATTAAGGGCATTTTGCAGTTCTGTGGTAAATTCTGTCCTCTCCATGAAATGTTCACTGGTTCTTAAACACAGGGATGTACCCCAATTCAATGCTGACCGTAGAACTTCAGTGACTTAATGGAACACATGCCACTATCTTCAGTGAGGCCAGTTTTTTACCTTGTATGCTCAGCTTCCTAACACAGTGCTTTGTGTGTCTGGGTCTTTTTCCTTTTTACCATGAACTTTCATATTCAGTTCCACCTTATAAATTTCAGTGTATTTTTTCCATTGACTTCTTTTTTTTTTTTTTTTTTTCCCTCCCAACACTGTACAGTGTTTATGGTAGCCAGTTTTATTTTGTTATTTAATTTTAAGCAAGTGAACAGAATCTTACTTAGCTGATGGATATGTAGTACTAAAAGCCTGCTTCAGGCAGTTTTTGGCTGTGCCATCAGTGACTCCATTATGATGCCTTCCTTGTTTATATAACTGGCAGTAAGTTGCATTAACTCATATATTGTTGGCATTTTTGTTCTCTTGCCAACCTGCTAGATTAATTTGGAATTGCTTTCAGTCCAAGGCCACCAAAGATTGATGGCATTTGTTTTGAACAGGATATTTGTATTCATGAGAAAAAAACAACCACCCTCATTGTCTGGACAGTGACTGTATGCCCTGAAGCATATGCTCTTTGAACTTGCAATTGGGATTTCAGAAGGTATTATCATTAAGTACGGGTATTTATTTCATGTCCATAGTAGGAGTCAGAAGAGGTGGGGCTCACAACAGAACTAGGTGATGTGCTAGGAAACACGTGCTGAACTTTTCCTAGACCAGGAATCCCACTAACTGCTGGCAGGGTTGTGAGAATTTCAGAAAGCTCTCAGGTCAAGCCAGAGGCACAATATATATCAAGGTGCATCTAAAAATCAACTCAAATGCTATCCACACCACAGAAAATGTGTATGTGCAGTTACACAGCTGGGGGGATTTTTTTATCACCAGGCCATCAGCCTCACTGATTCATTCTGGGGGAAGGTGCAATTTTGCATGTCCAGCTGCACTGCCAGACAGAGTTGCCCAAAACAGAGCGGGGGTGTCTGCACATGGCTGAGGCCAAACACCTGCCTTTTTATTCCTCAGTTGAGCATGCTTACTCATGTAGTGAATATTGAATTGTCCAGCGCAGGGCAACAAAGATGATTAAGGGAGTGGAGCATCTCCCTTATGAGGAAAGACTGAGGGAGCTGGGTCTCTATAGTTTGGAGAAGAGGAGACTGAGGGGTGACCTTATAAGCGTCTATAAATATATAAAGGAGTGTCACGAGGATGGAGCCAGGCTCTACTCAGTGGCGAACAATGATAGGACAAGGGGTAATGGGTACAAACTGGAACACAAGAGGTTCCACTTAAACTTGAGAAGAAACTTCTTCTCAGTGAGGGTGACAGAACACTGGAACAGGCTGCCCAGGGAGGTTGTGGAGTCTCCTTCTCTGGAGACATTCAAAACCCACCTGGACACATTCCTGTGTAACATTATCTAGGTGTTCCTGCTCCGGCAGGGGGATTGGACTAGATGATCTTTCGAGGTCCCTTCCAATCTCTAGCATACTGTGATACTGTGATACTGTGATTGACAATGGGGTACAAGTCATGTGGATGTTACCCATAGTGTTTGGTAGGAGAATGTTTTCCTGAAATGTAAATGGATGACAAGATCTATTCTGAATGCTAGTCTCAGATTTGCAAAAAGGAAGTGAAATCCCAATCTGTACCAAAAATATAAAAGAAAAGGACAAAAATGTGTGTATAGATCAAAATATGAGTAAGATTCACTTAACGGGACAGAACAGCATGAAGTTCCATGAATGCTAGAAGCCATAAATTCTAGTATCTTAGGGTTTCTATTGATTGGCTTCCCTAGTGTCTTGTAAAAAGTTTTTCTTGAAGTGGAGATGTTCACAAATTCTGTACTCTGTGTTTTCTTCACAATTTAATGAAGGGAAATAGCATACTGTAGTTTTCCATCTGGTAGGATTTCTCTTATCACTTGGGATACCTCTCGTAATGAACCTTGTAAAGACTTAAAAAGCTGGGACTTTACCTTTTTATGACAAACACACAAATATACACACCATGCACAACCTGAACTAAGGTAAGAAAACCCTTACTCAGACAAAAAAGAAGAAACTAGCACAAAACTGAGAAATCTCAGTTTTTCACGTTTATGTATGTGGGAGATTTGCCTTGAAAATGGGACTGTTCAATTGCTCAGTTGACATGATGAAAATCGTATCTGCCACAGGCAGCCACAGTCCTTTTTTTAGCAGCTTTATGTCTTTAGCAATATATGGTGGCAATAAGTTTTGCCAGATAATTGCACTGTAAATCCAAATATTCTCTGAATCTATATTTCCTCTCTGTCTTGAGTGACTGACTTTTCTCCCCTGTGGTATGAAATTGAGAAAACAACATTTAATCAACCATTTTCTTTCCCTTTACTAGTCCAATCTTAATTTATTTCCTTTCCTCATGAAACTATGCAAAACATGGTAAGCTTTCCTCAGATCTAAATGTTGGGCTCTCCTTAGCAACACTGCTGTCTAACATATCAGAGCATTAGGATGTCTAACCTGAATTAAATACAATCTTACTGCATCCACAGGCAAAAGTAAGGAATACGTATTTCTACAGCAAGAGGATATAAGACCTTAGAAGTTTTACTGCCAAAAAACAATTAAATAGTTCACCTCTATGAATTAATTGGTAAGTTACAAACAAATATTATCAAGTATGTCTTTCTGAGAAGTGTCAGAAGTGGGTTTTGGAGGTATTAGCCCTCAGTTGAAGTAGCTGCCATACTTTCAGGGTTTTACCTGTCAGCCAGCAGCAGGAGCAGTGCAGTAGGTTGGTAGTGGTGTAATGACCATGAGATGGCTAAAGGCTCCTTCTCACTGCAGTGGCATTTGTATCAGGCTTCCATCCAGTAAGACAAGACCTTAGATGGTCTTCATTATGACAATCAACACTTTGAATGGCACTTAAAGTAGTTTTAACTAAGTTTTATTGTCTGTGTTGTATTTCATGTTCCCGGAACCTCCTCTTTTGTGGGCCCGTCACAGCAGCACAGCAGGAGGAAATTGCACTGCAGAGAAACATCTTCCCTTGCCAACATTTAGAGAAATCTTGGGCCATTCAGAATTCAAAACTTGTACCTAAGTCTTACCTCCATCATGTTATGGAACTGCTTAAAGAAAATATTTGAGGTGAAAGTAATAAAAAAAAACACATTAATTTATACAAGTAGCTTTCTGTGAGAAATTGCAGGAATGCACACCTGATTTCCCCTGTAAATGGAAGCATTCAGCTGCTGCCAATTGGCGTACTCCTGCACTGCAATTTTAGTAGAGTTTCATCAATTCTGAGTAATTGCAAAGAAAAAACAGGCACTGCATAATAAAACTGAGTAGACACACTTAAAAATGAGATGGGTTTTAAATGAATACTAAATGTAATTCAGGTTCCAAATTAGGAGCCAGATCTTGGAGGTGCTCCAGATATTGAACTCCTATTGAAATTTACAACAACTTCAGCACATCTCTTATTAAAAAGCAATAGGGCTTTCACTGCACCTGAGTAGATTTTAACTATTCATTCCAGAACAGTTCATTCTGTAAACAAAGCACACTAGTGTAGATACTATGCATAAGCAAAACAAGTATGCTAACAAGTACAGGATTTTGGCAAGCTACCTACCCGTTGCTAAATAATATAATTGTTACTTTCTAATATCCAAAAAATTGTCCACTCAAGATGTTGATGAATTTTTTTCCACTTCAAAAATCCCTGACAAAGAGACTGATTACAGTGTGCATACATTAAAAGTAAAAAAAGTTGTAGTGAAAATGTGGAGGATAGCAGCAGGGAACAACTATATAAAATGTCCTGCCCATTTATATATTTAAGAAAACATTCCAAGGATTTCTATGCTAAATACTTCACTGAAACTGTAAATGGTCTTTTCCTCAAACAACCCACAGCCAAGCTGTACATGGCAAAGATGCCTAAATAGGGCTGTGCCCTGGAGGCTATAAGGATGTATAATTTTATAAAGTCAGTATGTACTTTGCTGCTTTGTGTCCACCACGTGATTGCTTCCCTTTTGGTTTCTGTATTTTTAGTCCTGTTGGTCCAAATACAAATTTGGAAGCAGGTTAATCACCACTTGTTTCACTGAGGCCATGTGCAGCCTACCCTGTGACAAAACCAAAGCCAGCTGAGATGACATGGTTGTTAACACACTGCATTGTCCTAAGGAATTCAAAACGGGGAGTAATGTAAGTGTACCACACAGTCTGTTGTTGTGGACTTTATTTTGGTAGTTTTATTTGGTAGAAGAAGGTCTATAGTACACCAAAACCAAGTGAATTGCTTCAGTGTGAGGAGGACTGGGAACAATATTCTGCTTCACAACTCCCCCAAATGTTTACAGTTTTGTCACCATCTGGTTATATATAGTAGTTCTATTTTGAGACCCTGTCCCTAAGGCACTTCAAGCATTGACAGCAAGATCTGGGCTTAACCCAAAATCTTGCCGAAAAATAGCTATCACAATTTACCACTGCAATGTGGGATCATGTTTAAAAAGCATTTAAATCTGCTCCAGCTATTCTTTAAAGGTATTTTTTAACCTGTGCATTGACAAAGCTAGTGCAACATCAGTGATGTTGAGAACAAGTGTGAACAACAGTGAAGATATGCTGCTGGCAACCAATGTAGCTCTAACCTGTTCCACATAGCTGTCAGAGCTTTTCCTGTAATATTGCACCAGCAAATTCCCACCACTCAGGAATAAAAAAACTTTCGGTAGCCTCCTACAAACATTTGTATATTGGTTTTGTAGGATACTTTACAAGATATTTGTAGTGGCAGGCTGGATTCAATGTGTAGCATATGTCAATGGGGGTTTGAACAAAAAATGTACTAACTCATTTTAGCCATAGGACAGACTGGCCTTCCAGTTTTTTTCTCCAAGCCATTCTAGATTTGGAAAAAGATGAGAGATTTCCTGGAAAGTGAAACTCTTTACCTATCTCCCATCCACTTCCTCAAGAATGTGGCATTTCTCAAGTACTTCCTCAAGAATGAAGAGGTACTTATGATGACATAATCCGTCAAAAAAAAACCAACCCCCTCCCCCCACCAAAAAAAAAACCAAAACCAAACAAACAAGAAAAACCCCACCAACACCCCAAAAACAACCCCAAAACCAAAAAGTAATGCAAGGTTGTATCCTAGAGGCCTTTTTCTATTCCCAGTGAAATCAATTTAAAAATTCCCACAGACTTCAGTGGAAGCTGGATTAAAGTTAATTTCAGAGGAACTTTAACAGGAGGATAGATGTCTGCCTTGGGCAAAAAGAGAGTGACTTTCAAAGTATCAAATTAGAAACATGGGGCTCATGTTCCATTCATTATGCCCAGGCAATCTGTGGGAACAGAACAATTGCTCTGGTCCTCCTTTACAAATTTCCTACCACTACTTCTCTCAAATGAAACTTAAAAAGAACACATACACAAACCAAAACCATCACCCTGTTCTCAAAGCTAAAAATCCATCCTTTCTTCCGTGCCTCTCTCTCTCTGTCCCTTCCCAAAACTCCCTCTGTATCAAACAGTCCTTCACACACTCAAATTTATAACCCAACAGGCGATATGCTTTTTCAGAAAGTGCCTCAGCTTTGCTAAGAATTTCATGTTTACTTGCCACCATCAATTACATGTATTTCACTGTATATTAAATGGGTCATGACTTTCTTTCCAGTATCTCAATCTAGGAGTGCACACGTATGCCAGGATAGACCTGGAATACAGCCACTATACCTGCTTCTTGTTCCTGGCTATACCTTGCTTGTTATACAGAGCTAACTGGGATTAGCAGCCCACTGGGTACTTGTAGGGTGCTTCAGCAGGTCCTATATTCAGCATGTTGGTGTCACAAAGCACGCTTACCCCACAGTGAAGACACAGCCTATTTGTCCCATATTAATGTTAGAAAATCTCGAAACTGTCAAATTTCAGTTAAAATTTTACAACTAGTGATGTGTATATGCCTGAATTAGATACCAATTTCTGTGGCTTTTCTGTCCGTTTGGAGTACATCCATATATATGACTACTGCATATACGGTTTTTACAAGAACCATGAACAGAATGTACGGAAGCAGGGAACAGCTAAGTTTCATTCAGTTCCCAAGGTGGTCAACTGCTTTGAAAACAGGGAGCAGGAAAACAGGCTGAGAATGCAATGGAAACTCAGGTTTATTAAGTATGATTACTGTTAGTTTTGCTGTTGTTTCCTGTTTGCCTTAGGCCAGTACCCAAAAGCCCCACTATGTCATATTTAAAACCAAACCAGGAAAATTCTCACATATTTAGAAATAGATCCTGCCTTGAGGAGCTCACAGTCAAGATAAGGAACAAGATGGAGCAAGTAAAATTAAGAAACAATCATGAAGGAGAAAGTGAGGATGGTTAAATGACCAGCTGGGTGGCCTTGGTACCACTCTTGACAGTTCCAGGCTACCCATGCAAAGATCCAGGTTTTTATTAAGATGGTCTGTTTCAACCCCATTTGATACTGAAAAAGTGCCTTTGTTGGTGCTTAGTTCATGAAGAACTATAATCCAAGGGGAAAATAAGAAATTGGCCATATGCATATTTTCCAGCATTTTCTTTTTCAAATTGTCTCTTTTGCTTATAATAATTTTTCCCTTAAAGTACTGAGAATTCACAAATTTCCAGTTAGTTCACACATGCATTTGTCTTCCAAAACCTCCAAAATGTGTAGACACTGAGTCCTCTGCACTGTGAGCTTTGTTCTACTGCACTGCTGCTATTGCACCATGCTACTTGCTGTCTTTCTGAACTATTTCATATTTAGAGTAAGCACATCATGCAGCAGACTGTAGCAACCCATGGACAAAACTTGTTCAGAGTGTGTTAGCCTTTCTGTCTCTTCTAAGCAGCCCTGACATGCTGTGTACCCTATTATAATGCCTAAGTGTGGATTATGTATGTAACTTTGTCATCAAAGTTTGAAAGTGACTTCTGTTTTAGAATTCAGGCTTACCTGTACCTGGGACATTATACAATCTCACCTGCACATACGGTATTTATTTATTTCCTGGTTTACTTGTTTCACAAAGATAACTGCTGGATCCTCATTTGGCAATACAGAAAAGAAAACTGCATTCATATATACTTGTTTAAGAGTCAGAAGAACCTACTGTGACGCAGGGATCTCAAAATGTAGAAGTGCCCTAAAATTAGCTTAGGCCGTTTGAATTCACTGATGCACAGCAAAAGATGTAAATTGAACAGCCAGGCACAGAATGTTTTCACTCCCATATTGTTAAAAAATTAGACTGTCTGACCCTGGCCATTCAAGGACTGTCTGATTGCTGTACTTGTATTCTCTACAAAGAATCTGGGGCTCCAGTAATTGTAAACTCCTGTGAGGGCATAAAAATGGAGAAGTACCTTACAGAGTCACTGGTGCACACTAGCAAGAGCAGATTTGCAAACAACAGTGTACAAATATAAACTAATTGTAAAAATAACTTTTGAAAACTACCTGTAACAGGGTAAATAATTCATTAAAAAACATCCCAGTTGATTTTCTTTATTCCCTTTTGTATCAGTGGTTCTGCTGTAATTCATTTTGTATTCTTGAGTCATTGCCAATGGTGCTATCTGTAGAGAAACAACTGAAGCAACTCCAGAGTCTTTATATGGCTGCAAGATGCTAATACTGCAAAGCTGCTAATTCCACAAGCTGACATTCTCTCATTTCATGCTTCCATTACCCCAGAGAAAACAACTATTGCAGAAAATGTTGTACTTAGCTCTATAATTTCTCCTCAGGCTAGCAGCAAGGTGCTTCAGAAAGCTGTGTTCTTAGCTACTGCTTCTCTACACATCTTTCCCAGTTGCCTCTTCACTCTGCTGTTAATGAAGAGGATTTGAAATCATAAGCAGTTACAGACCTCCTGAAGCAATGCAGAAGTGAAAGGAAGGTTGCTACTGACAGAGATGAATAAAAGTACCCGTGGGAGAAGGGAACTCTTCTTCAGCATCCTCTTCCAGCAAGGAAAAAATCTCCTTAGGTTATGCTTTTGACTGGTCTGAACTGAACGAACGTCCATTCTTTGATGATGCAAGGGGTCCTTTTTAGCCATAAAAAGGGAACAAAACCTACATTCTCTACCTTGTTTAAAACACATGTTGTGGTGGACAGGCAAAATGAACGCCAAGCATTCAGGCCTACAAATAAACTCGGCAAGATGGTATAGCATGTTGCTTCCATTGGGATCTCAGGAGACTTCTGTGGGCTTTAGCTTTCCTCTTTTTTTTTTTTCCCATTTTTTTTCTTTTTCTTTTTTTTTTTTTTCACCTGAAAATATAATTGCCATAAATCTAATACATTATTAAGGCTTTAGGCCCTCACACTCTCAAGTGTCAAACTTCACACAGACAAATTGTCTTATTCATTTAGCATGTTTGTAAATTCAAAGCTACTCATATCTGACACTGGCTGTCACATTGCTCTACCTTCTGCTGCTTGTCCTCACGCCTGTTCTGTAGCCCAGCAGTTAAACCCTGCCTACATGACTTGGCAGTCAACCTCCAGAGCTGCAGTTTCACCAAACATGTGACCTGTGGATATCTCCAGAATGACAATCTCCCTTGCAACAAAAAAAAGAAATTTTTCTTTATCCCCTCATATGGCAACAGTCAGATTGCCTTCAGTGAGACTGTTCACAAAGTTCCATGTAGACCGAAGTCCTGCTGTGCACAGAGAAGAAAACATGAAATGCAGATACTGCTGTGCATTGTTTCACTTCTCTGTCTGAGAGAAGACTTCAGATATGGGGTTTAGGATTTTATTGTTGTTAAAAGCATCAGTGGAGAAGGAAGTTGACTGTGGAGAAAAGTAACATTCATTCCATTCAGAATTAAACTGCTGAACATGAGAAGAGGCTCAGGATGTTACATGTTTTAAGGCTAAAAATGTCTTGTTACTACCCAGAAACTTTTGATATGCAAGAAATACTTTTCCTGCCTCATGCAATCTGACGTAGTTTATTATAAGTCTAAGTTTAACAAAGCTATTTTTATTTTCAGGAAGTCATAGTTTATACGGTTTAAAACATGAATGCATGGAAAACAGCCTTGGGGAAACTAAGCCCATATCTGGAAATGCAGCAGAGAATTCCTTGTGCCAATTGCCAGTTCAACAAAATCTCTTTGTAGAAGTTAGAACTAATAGTGTTCAGGCTCCCTACTTACTCAGCATTGTACTTCTCTCAGCAGTAAACATCCTCCTCTACTTTATTAGTGATTTTAGCCTTATTCTCATAATTGACCGTTTCTTAGAATTCTCCTTTCCTGTAATTAGAATTAAGCATCTCTATTATACAAAAAAGCAGACATGAATAAGATGCCTTCCAGGGAAAGTGTCACTTAGATCAAAGTCATGACATCTAGTCTTCTTGAACTACACCCTTGGCTCTGCCTTTTACTTTCTCTAAGACCTTCGACAAACCACTTAACCTCTCTGCATCATTTCTCCACCTGTAAAATGAGAATGGCAACACTTCCCAAGCTCACTCATTAACATTTTAAAACGTACCTTTGCAACTCACAAGGACAGGATGTCTCACGAAAGCCAGGTGTTAGCGCTTAGGCCTCGGTGAACTCAATACAGTACAAGGGATGGACACAGCCTTGGTCTGACCTGGGGGATTGTGCAGTTGGCTGGCCATGACTGCTTTGAATACTGAGACTAGTGGAGGTCTTCAGTCACTTACTGCAAAACTTGATTCGTAGGTTTGTAGATCTGGAATAGTTTAAAACTCCAAGGTAAAAAATAAAAGCATTTTTTTCCCCCCAGGGATTGAATCTCTTAAAACTGTCTTACGCTCATTTTTGTGGTGCATCTTGAAAATGAACATTTTTTTAAAGATATATATTTAAATCTTGATTTAACAATTTTCTGGAGTTAAGAAACATATGGAGGGGTTGGGGAAAGTTTAGGATTAAAAATGAAGGCTGATGATGAGAAGAGGTACTTGTTACTCTGCCGATCTCCTGTCCCTCTGGTTTCCTCTCCTCCTCTCTCCTCCCTTGTACTACCCTCCTCTGTTTTCATGTCTTCAGTGTTCCCTTGTGTAACTCCCATTAGCATTACATTTGCTGAAACATATTTTTGTCAAACACAGCCTGATGTTGTCAGCATCTGGTTAAGCCAACTTTGAACACTACCATTACACATACATGAGAAACCTGCATGTAGCAGCAGGAACCTTTGGCTCTGTTCTTACACCCCAGCAAGAGCACTGACTCTACACAGGTGAGGTAGGGGCTAGCTTATGCTTTGGAGCAAGAAGCCCATGGAGACACAGTTCAGACCCTGAGTTGTGCTTCACACTCTAATGTGCAGCTGCATAGTGTCAGAGCTTCTCAAGTTATTATTTTGTGATCAGCTCCTCTCTCACCTGATGGCCCAAGACATTCAAGAATTAGCTACATATGAACATTAAGCACACACAGAGTATGTACCATAATCAGGCATTTTATTACCAACATAACCATAGCTTTCAGACTTTCTTCCAGGAAAAGGTACTCACAAACATGTTGTGTTTTTTCTTACTGCCTATGTTGTAGAAATGTACAACATCAGACAGCACACCTGACAACTATTAACGTGATTTATAAACTTGCAGCATGAAAATTCTCATATAATCATTGCTATCCTGTTGTGGGCACCAGTAAATTCTCCCCAACTTTATTCTGGGTAGTGCATGTCTGCATGATGAATGGTTATTGCTCAGAAAGTATTTCCCATGTGAAATATTTATTTTGTATCACAGTGAGGATGTGTGTAATTCACCAGAGAATTACAGTACTGTACCATATCTCACTGAATCAACTTTAATGAGCAATTTCTCACAAAAATTCCTGCAGTGAGAAGCAGGAAAACCAGAGCAATACGGGCTCCCCATAGATGTATACCTCAGGTCCCAGATTTGCTGTTCCAAATATAAAGCCCTAAAAATACTACTGCTTTGCTATAAAACCTCCTTGAAAGAAACCTTATCAAGCCTAATATATGACAAGATGGAAATACTGCTGTTAAGAAGACTTTTTGTGCAAGATGTGTTTGTGAGTGCATATATATACATGCACATCACATACTTAGGTATCAGTATCCTCATATAAGGGAGGAGGGTACCAAAACTGGGGATTACAAGAGGAATAAGACAAGGTACATTCTTTATACAAAAATGGACAAAAGTAACAGGCACATGACCTCAAGCATTGAAGCCTAATAAGAAGTATGACTAGGACATTTCTCCCTTACAGACACACACTGTGAGAAAGCACTTGACCTCCACAGCATTACCCCAAGTCCCAGACCTTTGCCTTTTCTCCAGACCTTTCATCCAGGTCTTAGTTCCGCTGATGTCTCAGGGGAAGGCCAGGCAAAGAGGCAAAAGCAGCTGTTTTCTTCTCACCAAACTAGTGGAAAAAACATGTAGTTTCATGCAGCCTCCTCCTCTTTGTGGGCAAATTCATTTAAAGATGAGAGATGAGAACTGCCTCTGCTGATAATGTCTCCACCTTAGCTGTGCAATGCAGGACACCCAGGTGCACAAGCAGGTCCTGCAGCACATACCCCTGTTCCCCTGAGGGCCTAGCCCTTGATTCCTCTCATGAGGATATGCTTTCTCCGAAGGAAACTCAGTAATACCACCATTTTCTTTCTCCTAGTCCACTTTCACAGGTCTATCTGTGGCCAGCTGTGAGCAGCTGTGATTCTGCTGCTTTGGCTACTCACATTGCATGTTCCGTTCCAGTTCAGGAAGTGTCCTATTGTGTGTTGTGGTTAAGAGCATAGCTGATGATCACTCATGCTCACTACTTCCATGGACCTACTACCACCCCACGCCTCTGTCGTGACATTGTGCAGGGTACTCTGGTAAACAATAGAGCAATCTGTTATTCAGTACACCCACTGTATTAAGTGCACACCCATCACGCTGCTGCAAATGTGCTGTGGATGCAAATGCACTCCCATCACAGCTAAGTTTTATAATGGTCCCATTCCTGCAGCTAAATGCAATAAAGAGAAACGCAGTCACTCTGAAATGCATGCAGCTGTGGTGCCACCTGGACAGCACAACCTGACTGTGGCTCTTTGGCTAGCAATCCTGCTTCCTCTGCCTTTGGGAACTGTAACCTGCTCTAGACCTTTCTACTAACAGCATCAATTTTTTTACTGGCAGCTGCCATTAATGCATGGGCCATTAACATGCTGAGGGCACACAGATAACATTCATCCCCACACTTAGCCAGGTATCTGGCAGCTCAGTGGCATCTGACCTCTCTGTTCTGGGCCAGGCAGCATGGGCAGGTTTCCTCACACTGCCCCATGTTCCCATGCTGCCACGCAGATGGACCTTCAAGATTCTGATGTGGATATCTCAGTCCTGCCTCAGTGCCAGATGTTTTCTTCAAACAGCACATGCAAAAGAATCAACTGTGAATTTCAAGAAGTGAGGGAGAAGAAATATTACTATAAAAACAATTTTGTGCTTGCAGGGAAAATACTTTTGAATAAGAACTTCAAAGTAAGACAAGAGTGATAAGAAACAGATCTCAATCAGAGATTAATTTCCTGTTTTCTATTCAAAGCAGTCCTATGTCACAACTACTGTAGTATTTCTACCCTAGCATGGCCAGAGAGATTTTATCTTAAATATATACCCATTGCTATAAGCAGAATACAGAACAATAACAACACACAAAATATTTTTTCTATAAAAGATTTTAAGACCTGGTCTCTTTCTGCTGTTCTGGTAACCAAACTGAGAGTATAAATTACCACAGTCTACTACCATGATTACTGAAACTTCTTTCCCTTTGGCCCCTTACTGCCGTTTAACCTATAAAGCAGACCTTAAAACAGTTCTTCTTGGCTATAAACCTGACTTTGTTGACCTCTTCATTACATTTAGCTCAAGACTGGTGTTCTGATCTCCCAGTCAAGTGCAAGCCAGCTTCCCTGCAGGAATTCACTGGCTCCATTTCACACTCTGTGCTGCTGAGCTGCTCCTCTCACATCAGTTTTCTCTTCCTGCAGCTGCCCTCAGTCTCTTTCTGACAGTCTCTGGGTTTTTTCTTCATGAAAGTCTCTCCTTAGTCTCCATTTCTATTTCGTACCTCAAGCTCAGTTTATGTGTGTCTGTTAACACGATATATACATGTCCTAAAATAAAACTTTCTGGTGTTACGCTGAGCAGCTAGGTCAAGTTTTTG